GCCGGGCTGGCCGCGCGAAGGTCCCCGCGCACTGGTCGCAGGCGAACTCCTGCCTGTCGTGCACCCGCCGATGGCGCGCGAGCTTGGAGGGCCGGGTGAAGCTCCGGCCGCAGTCCCCGCAGGAGAACGGCTTCTCCTGGCCGTGCAGCCGCTGATGCGCCCGCAGGGCGTTCCGCCAGCAGAAGCGCCGCTCGCACTCCGGGCACCCAAAGGGCTTCTGCCCGCTGTGCTGGAAGCGATGCGCCTTCAGGCTCCTGTTGAGGCGGAAGCTTTTCTGGCACTCGGGACACTGGAAGGGCTTCTCCCCCGTATGCACCCTGACGTGTTCGGTGAGCCTGGCCTTGTGGAAGAACCTCCTCCCGCACTGGTCACAAGAGAACGGCTGCTGCGCGATGCGCGTCCGCTCGTGGGCCCGCACGCCCGCCGGCCGGGAGAAGCTTTGGCCGCACTGCGGATCCTGGAAGGGCCTCCTCCCGCTGTGCACCCCGAGGGGATCGGCGAGCCGGCCCGGCTGGATGGAACCCTGGCCACACTCCTCGCAGGAAAACGGTCTCTCCCCTTTGTGGCTCTGTCCTGGAAGGCCTTGTCACACTTGGGGCACTGGAAGGGCCGCTGCCCCATGTCAACAGTCTGGCGAGTGACCAGGCTGCGCTTGAGAAAACAGCTCTCCTTGCACCTGCCACCCTGGAAATGCTGCTGCTTACACAGGATCGCTGGGTCCATCCCGAGCTCAGCGTTCCCTTGGGACTTGGTCTCCTGCTTCGGATCTTTACAGGGCTGGCTCTTAGAGTGGTTCCTTTTGTGCTTTACCAAGTCTCTCTTTATCTGGAAGACCTTCCCACAGACGAAGCATGAATAAAGTCTCGGCCCTGGTGCAATTTCCAGGTGACCTGGGGCTCTGGTCAGCTTAGGCCATGGATCATTCTGGTCCTGATTAGATGCTGTGGCGTCAAGGTTTTTATTTAGCATCTCTGTTTCTTGGAGACTTGGATGTTGTAAGGAGGCTCTTTGATCTGATAAAATCTTTCTTTCCTTCTTGGATGAGGGAGCACATGAGCCCTGCTCCTGGAGATCATTTAAATGGCATTCCCCTTCTTTTGCTCCAGGAGTTCCTCGGTCACCTGGAGAGAAAAAAGAAGATCCACCCTCATCAGTGATACATCTGTGCGTAAGTGGGGTCAAGGACCGTCTGTACATCATTAACAATGTGGGGAAAGGAATCCCATTGACCCGAATGACTTTGTGAATTTGCCTGCCACTGGAAACCTACATTTAAGTTTAACTTTGATATGTAAATCCTTTCATCCTGTGTTAAGAAATGGCTTAGTATGAAAAACATGGCAGGCAAATACATCTTGTGAACCTATGATGACCCTCAGAGGGGAAGCAGAAGTTGGAAGAAAATAAAGATGAGTTATTCTGAGAATCCGACCATTTAATTATAGTATTTCTTTAAATCTGTGAAATAAATAGCACAATATTTAAGTAAGAAGGCTTTGCCCTCTTCTACCACACATTCTACTTCAGGAACAGTTTTCTCGAAGGAATGCTAATAGGAAGTATCTTTCTTAGGAATATCAAAATGGCAATTTACTGAATTCACAAAGAACACTGTGGAAATAATTCCCTTTCCCAAGGAACTCTGAATTATAAGAATGACACTGATATAAGTAAGCATAGTCACTGCTGTTCCCAAAGTAAATGCCACTGTAACAGGGAACAGAGGGAGCTGAGTTAGCACCTTATTCTCACCCATGACACCTGCAGAAGACAATTCTCAAAGCTCACCTGAGCTGCTGTAGTTCAGAACCTCTTTTTCTCCCCGCATCCTGTTGAAGTGGGTCACGGAGCTCTCCTTTTTAAAATGTTAACCTGGGAGAAAGCCTCACCTATCAGGCCTGCCCCAGGTAAAGACTCTGATTATGCTCTGAGGTCATCTTAACAACATAGGTTACGTTTCCAACTGGATAACGTCACTAAGTTAGCCCCCTACAGCTTCTGCCTGGATTGTGACAAAAGCATACCTGCCTGTCTCCCTGAATCCTATTTCTCATCACTTACTATTGATCCCAGGCAGAGGAGCAGCTGTGATGACTGGGTGAGTACCACCTGGTACAAAGGGAACATTGGCTTTCAGGGACAGCTACTAACATCGTTCATTCTTTGGTACTCAAAAACATTTCCAGCTCCTTCATTTCTAAAAGAGAAGTTAAACTCTCACCTTGGCATTTCTGGCCTCAGATATTCTGATACCAATTATGCACCACCACCAATTCTTCACACTCCCCCCTTTCTTCCACTATGTCCCACGAATAACATTCAACTATAATCAGCGTCTTCCAGTTTCTAAACATAACAGGCTTGTTCCCACCTTCGCGCCTCAGCTCATGTATGACCCCCTGCTGAATCTTCTTTGCCTTACCAAATCTGCCCTTCGTATGCTGTTTAAATCCTAATTCCTTTAGAAGTCCTCCTGGGACACTGCTGTCTCTCCTCTGCTCTTTCTCCTCTAAATCCCTCTAGTGCTTATGATCACTGCCACTTATTAAGTTGTATACAGTCTTATTTTATAGTTGACTAATCCAATAGTTCAATATAATTGACTAACCTGTCATGTCAGTTGGTAAGACAATAAACTCTTAGGGTGAAATACACATATGTGTGTGTCTATATTTTATATATATATAAAATATATATATATACACACACATATATATATATATCTCCCACCCTGCCCCCCCACCAAACTATGAACATGATAGGGACTCAATACTGGTTAGATGAGTGAATTAATAGATGGCAGCAATGAAATGAAGCCCTTGGGAATTCTTTTCTCTCTCATGGAACTAGCCACGCATTCCCTGGGTTTAAATCTCCTCTTCTTCAGGAGAGTCCTTGATTCCTAGGGACTTAAAAATGACAAGTTTCCTTAAATACTTAAAGTGTTAATATGTTCCAAATGTTTCCTTTATGATGCAAGGAATTAAAAAAGTAATCCTTCAAAAGGGATTAAAAAAATCCCAAATTCTAAAAGTCTGTACAATAAAAAAATATATTGCACACAATTGGAAGGCTTCTCATTTCTCTAGACTCAAACGGGTGTGATGATATGATGGCAGGGTGGTTTTTTCCTCAGGACTGGACAAGTGGATTCTTTACTGTTCTCTTACCAGCAGTTTCTGAACTTCAGGGGTTGGAGGTTTTTTTTCTTTATGGAAATAAATATACACACCTTCCCTCTTTGTAAAAGTAATACATTCTTATATTTGCTACCCAGTTGAGTAAAAATAATAACATTCTCCATCAAAACAATGTTTCTTATTCACTACCTCCAGGTCCTGCTGACCAGGCAGAAACATCAGAAAAGGATGCTAGGAAAAATAAAAGGAGTCAGGCCCCCAAATCCATCTGCTCACCAACACATGGTGACGTGCCAGTATTCAAGTCTGACTGCTGGCCCGCAGAAGGGCTAAGTGTCACTCGTGTTTTTTCTAAGCGCCCTTGGTCTCTGATGAACAGCATTCTTCCTTGTTCCATCCAGGTGATCAAATTGGGCTTTGAAAAAACACAGCCTGCAAAGAAAGTCCACACAGACTCAGTCTGGTTTCCTGAGTACTTGACTAAAAATGATTTTCAAGGTTGACTTTGATTCCTGGGAACATGAGATCAAAGTTATGTTAAAAAAAATAGAAACCCTTGAAATTACATGAATGACTGACTAGCTTCAATGTTCCCGGCAATATTTCACACAAATAAAGGAAACAGAGAGGTTAAGGATGCTGAGGATCCAGGCAGAAAGTATTCAAAAGGGATCATTATGAGAAACAACGTGATTAGAATAAAAAGCAGTCATAGGGGTCAGAGAGGGAACCCAGACAATTGGACTTTCATGATTAGACTCCGTACATCCAGGGAAACTATTACTAAGGTGCCAACATTCTCCATCAACGCAGTGAAGGAACTGGGAGGTTGTTAAATAAAAGTGATTATGAAGAGGTGGAGAGTCAGGTGTCTAAGGACATCAGCCGGAAGGGAAGAAGCTTCTTACAAAATAGTGGAGGGATTTCAGAAGAGGCATCAGATACCCTGCAGTGGTGTCACCTCTGGCTCAGCCCTTGGATCCCAGTTCCTCAAAGCGAACTGCGTCCCATCAGCATTAGCAGCACCTGAAGCGCTTGTTAACAATGTCAATTCCTGGGCCTGAGCCTGGACCTGCTAAATCCTAATCTCTGGGGTGAGGATCTGGACATCCTGCAAAGAAAATCATTTGCAAACCATACTGTTTGGTTTCTAAAATTTGGAAAATTAGACTGGATTCTCCAAGCCCAAGGACACTAATTGTGCTAACTCGGTACTCAACACTGGATCAGCACAGGACTCTAGTTCCTCCCACCCGGCTGGCCTTAGTCTCCTAAGATTGACCCCTACATGTTGGGGTGTCCTGGGGCTCTGTTCCATCGACATATTCTCCTTAGGTGATCCCAGCTAGCCCTGTGGTCTAAAATGTCATCTATACAATGACTTTCAGATGTGTAAATCCAGTCCTGATCTTCACTTGGAATTCCAGTGTCTCCAATACTCAATTATCTACGTTACAATTCTATATAAATGTTTAATAAGCATCTCAAACTTAACGTGGCCAAAACCTGCTCCCTCCCAAGCCTTCCTCATGTCAGTGAATAAAACCATTGCCATCAAGATACTCAAGCCAAAAATCTAAAAGTTGAGTCTCCTTTCATCCTTCGACTCCACATACAAGCCACCAGCAAAATCTGGGATGCTACCTCCAAAACACGTCTGGAGACTGCCTACTGCTCTCTGGCTTCATTACTACCTACCTGGTTTAGCTTCCGTAAAGACTCACCAGCACTGCCAAGGCCCTTGGCTGGTCTCTCTCCTTTAATGCCATGCAGTACAATTCATTGTCCACATAGCAACCCAAATAATTGTTAAAAAAAAAAGATACTGTATTACACCAGTTAAATCTTACCATCTTCCCTTCGTCTTTTGAATAAACCCAACCCATACCTTAGCCTAGAGGCCCTCCGTGATTTGGCATCGCTGACCTTTCTGCCCTTTTCTCCTTCACTCTCACCCCAGCCCTCTAACCATGTACCACAGCAGCCTCACTGTGGTTCGCACAGTGTACTGAGCTCATTCATTCCAACCTTTGGGCCTTTGTACTAGTTTTTCCTCTGCTTAGAATTTTCTTCTGCTTAGAAGTTTCTTCCCCCTGATTTCATATGGTTGACTCCCTCTTGTCATCCATAGCTCAGAATAAGTTATAAACCCCCAAAGAGAAAAACATCCTTCAGGTTATACTGAGGTCACCTGTTAAACTGATAACAGGAGAAATATTCTTAATGATACAAGATTGAGTTAGAGCAAGATGGGTAAGCAGCAAGGCAAAATCTCCCCAAATTCCTCTTTCAATCTCCTCCCTGAGTACTTCCCTAGAGATACCGGACGATCCCATCCCACTGCTCTCTCCTCTCTCCCTCTGCCAGGAAAATTTCCTCCTTGTTGTATCCACACTGTGTGGTGTGTTGGGTCCTCAGCTTATTCCAATAAATAACTATGTCCCCTTCGTGAGAGCCACAGTTCTTATAAGATGCATCTTATTCAGGCAACATAAGCAGGCACTAAAATATCAGTTAAAGAAATAAAACACACTTAAAAAGAGAGGCAATTAGATTATTTAGTAATTGTAACTGTGGGAGAAATGAGGGAGAGGTAGAGTGGGAGACAGAGAATTCAGAGTGTTAATAAGGCTGAGGGGCACAGACATCACTGGGTGAAAAGGGACAAGTTAAATACTCCCAGGCCATTACAGGAAGTTAAGGAGACACTGTGAATGTGAATTGGGCACAGTATCATATTCAACCAGCCAATAGCCAGTAAAGGGAGGAAAGCCTATTAGTATTAGGTTGGTTCCTCAAAAGTGATCCTTAGAACCCGTCTTACCCAGGGAATCAAGGGTCTCATAATTGGTCTTCATTTCTTGCTGATACAGCTCCTTCTGCCACTTTTCCAGGATGTCCCACTCTGGCTCCGAAAAGTATAAGGCCACATCATCAAATGCCACAGTTAACTGAAATCACAAACAGAATAAACATACATGTTCTCTTTAAGGCTACTTTGTTTTTCAATGTCCATGTCTTTAAAAGACAGGAAGAAACAATATAAAACTAGTTATCTCTGGATGGTGCCACATAGCAAAGAGGTCACAGATGCCCTACTGCAGCCAAGTAAAGGGGATGAACAGCAGGCCTCTGAGCACAGGTACCATCTAAAGGAGGATCCTTTGCTTACCAGCAACCAACCATTGCTATGTATGACTGGGCCAGTGTTGCTGGATATGTCAATTTTCAAGGAAACTTTTAATTTTGAAATTATTATAGATTCACAGGAAATTGCAAAGGCAGTACAGAAGGGTTCCCTGTACTGTTCACAGTGTACCCCAATGGCCACATGGTACATTACTACAGTACACTATCAAAACCATGAAACTGACACTGGTAATGTGTGTGTAACTCTATGTGATTTCATCATGTGTGCTGACTCATGCAACTATCCAGCAATCAAGGAACTCTCGCGTCATCAGAGATCTCCTTTGGGCTACCGCTTTATAATCACATCCTCTTAACTATTATCCATTTCTATAATCTTGTCATTTCAAGACTGTTAAGAAATGAAGTCATAGTATGCAAACTTTTGAAATTGACTTTTGTCAGTCAGCATAATACTCTTGAGATCCATCAAAGCTGTGTTTATTGTTTATCAATATTTCATTTCTTTCTATTGCTGAGCAGTGTTCAACGGCATGGATGTACCACAGTTTGGTTAACACTTTACCTATTGATGGACACTGGTTGTTTCTAGTTTTTGGCTATTAGGGAGAAAAGCTGTTATAAACAACCATGTACAAGTTTTTGGGTGGGGATACATTTTCATTTTCCCGGGATAAGTGCCCAGGACTGTAATGGCTGGGTCACAGGGGGAAGTGTATGGTTAGTTTTTTTCAAGAAACTATTTTCCAGAGTGGCTGAATCCTTTTACATTCCTACCAGCAATGTCTGAGAGATCACTTTTCAGCATCCTCACCAGCATTTGGTAATGCTGCTATTTTTTATTTTCACTGTTCTAATAGCTGTGCAGTGATCTCACTGTAGTTTGAGTTTGCACTTCTGGAACCAAGATGATGAGCATCTTTTCATGTGCTTATTTCTCATCCACATATCCTCTTTGGTGAAATCACTACATGTCTTTTGCCTATTTTCTAATTGGAGTCTTTGTTTTGTTTGTTCATTTGTTTTTCTACTATTGAGTTTTGAGAGTTTTTAATATATTCCAGTTTATGTCCTTTGTCAGATACATGGTTTACAAATAGGCCCCCCATCTGTAGTTTGTCTTTTCATCCTCTTAAGAGAATCCTTCCCAAAGCAAAAGCTTTTTAATTTTGATGCCATCCAACTTATCATTTTTTTTCTTTTATAGATTGTGCTTTTTGTGTCATATATAAGAACTTTTCACCAAGCCCTAGGTCGCAAAAATTTTCTCCAATGTCATCTTCCATAGGTTTTAGAGCTTAATGTTCTTTTTTTTTCCATTTTTAAAAACTGAAGTATAGTCAATTTACAATGTTGTGTCAATTTCTGATGTACAGCATGTTTTAGTCATACATGTACATATATATGCTCCTTTTCAGAATCTTTTTCATTATAGGTTACTACAAGATATTGAATATAGTTCCCTGTGCTATACAGTAGAAACTTCTTATTTATCTACTTTATATATAGTAGTTAGTATCTGCAAATCTCAAACTCCAAATTTATCTCTTCCCACCCACTTTCCCCACTGGTAACCATAAGTTTGTTTTCTATGTCTCTGAGTCTATTTCTGTTTTGTAAATAAGTTCATTTGTGTCTTTTTTTTTTAAGATTCCACATTTAAGTGATAATATCACATGGTACTTTTCTTTCTCTTTCTGGCTTACTTCACTTAGAATAATAATCTCCAGGTCCATCCATGTTGCTGCAAATGGCATTATTTTATTCTTTTTTATGGGTGAGTAGTATTCCATTGTATAAATATACCACAACTTATTTATCCAGTCATCTGTCCATGGACATTTAGGGTTCCATGTGTTGGCTATTGTAAATAATGCTGCTATAAACATTGGGGTGCATGTATCTTTTCAAATTAGAGATCCCTCTGGATATATGCCCAGGAGTGGGATTGCTGGATCATATGGTAAATCTATTTTTAGTTTTTTGAGGTATCTCCATACTGTTTTCCATAACCGTAGAACTTAATGTTTTACACTTGGATGTGACAGTTTTGAAAGGAAAACTGGAAATATTCATATTTTATGTGAACTCTTCTGAGTTTTACATCTTGGCAACTAAAGTTCACAATTTTAACAAGAAAGGGCCCCCCAAAATCCCGAACACATCTGTAAGCCATGAATGGCTCATGGACCTTCAATCTACAAGCTCTGGTATGAACTGACTAATCAGGAGTACTCTTCCTGGAGGTTCCAAGGACAGATGAACTGTGACAATAGGGAAGGAAGAGAAGGTATATAATTTAATTTTTGAAAATTCCGTTTCACTTCTTTCAGAATCTGGGCTACAAATATAGATGACAACCCATCAAGGAAAGTGCTGGACAACTCACAAGACAGCTAAGGCTCTTCCCAAGTAGATGAAAAAATGTGGGTCACAAATGCTACCAAGTAAACTCTCCCAATAAAGGAATCTAGGAAACTTAATAACTAGGGCCATTTCACACTTTTTGGAGAGAGGAGTTGTAGAGATAAAATTCTATCATCAAAACTATTACAGGCCCCTAAAGCTGAAGTATCAGCAGGTATAACAAAAAAATTTAAACTTGGTGTTGCTTTTATAAGGTGGGACTTTCAAAAAATTTCCTCTGCCGTTTACTTACACCTCACCTTGTGCTTTCCACCTGCAAAAGACTTCTCTGTGAGCACACTCAACATGAGCACTGAACTACTCCAGTGAAAAGGAAAATCAACGAAAAAATGCTGATTTCTCCTTGCCTACCCCAAATAATACAACAGCTGACATCACTTGCACTTTCTCTGTGGACTCAAACTTAAAGCCAAAGAAGAACTACTACAAACCACCAATTGTCATAGAACAGAGAGGGATATTCTTGGAGGTTGAAGAGACATGGCTTGAAGAAATCTGAACAGAATTTGTACCTGGCAAGGAATGTTGGGGAAGAGGAGTGAGAAGCAGAAGGGAAGAAAATGCATTACGTTGGTGAGATTATTCGATATGAAATCTCAATGAGGATACAAGCAGAACGTCCATACTTAAGCAGGTTATACTTAATTGAATGTAGTTTCCAGGCTTAGGCTCAGGATATGGCTTTCAACACAGTGTTCAAATTTTCCTTTAAAACACTAGAGTATTAGGGGTAAATTTGACTTAGGAAAACCACCCACAATGGTTTCAGATTTTCTGTCCTTTTCTAGAGGAAACAGTCTACAGCCTTCCTTCTCTTAACTTTTTCTCATTTGCTGATGGAGAAGTGCTCCCCGGACGCTGCATTCATCAGCAGAGCACAGAAACCAGGACGTTCAAAGAGCCCCGGCACAGGACGGGAACTGCGGCTGACCTGAGCGGACCACTGGCGAGACTGTGGGTTTCTCCACCTGGCCACTTCCCCTCAGATCACCGGCGGAACAGCTCGAGCCCCCAAGCCGCGCCTTCCCGGCCCGGGTCGGAGCCCAGTCCCCGTCATGGACCACCCCCTGGCCGGGGCTCTCACCGCCTCACTCCTGAACCTGGAGCCCACTCCGCATCGCGACAGGGACCGGAGCCTCGGCAGGGCCCGCATCCCCCACGGGCCCTCTTACCGGAGCCGGCTCGGCCACGGCCCTTCCGGGTCCCGCCGGGCTCCGGCCTCCGCCACGCGGGGCGTCCAGGCGACCCCGCGGCACCACCCCCGCGGCGGCCTCGCGCTCCAGACGGACCCGCCGGCCCAGCCCCGGCGCGGTGCACGCTGGGACTCGAGGCCGCCCCCCCACAGCGCCCCCTGCGGCCGGGAGGAGCGACCGCCACCCACGGGAGCCTTTGGTTCTGTCTCAGCCAGAGGGTCCCCGAGCCCGTTTTCAAGTGCTGATTTTTCACCTACATACCCTCTTTGGTGAAATGTCTCTTCGTGTCATGTAATCCTATTTCAACTTTGTTTTAATTGCATTTACTTAATTACTATTGAGGCTATAGACTTTTAATTGAAAAATTTATTGAGATAATTGTAGATTTGTGTATGGTTATAAGAAGTAATGCAGAAAGATCCCATGTTTTCTTGTATTTATTTGTGTTTATGTGTATTTAGGTCTGTGAGGCTATAGGTTCTTTTATGCATTAATATGTTTTTTCTCCTTTGTTACTCTTTTCTTCATTCCCTATTTGATAATTGACTGGTGGATCCTAGAAAATGATCTTACATGTTTATATAAATTTCATATCACTTCACATCACATTCCCATTACATAATGCAGTGATGTTCATCATATATTTCTTATTCAGTAGTTTGATTTATCATATTTTTTAAATGTGTATATTCAAATTCACTCATTTTTGTCTTTGATGTAATCTGGCACTTCAATATTTAGAATTTCTCTATATATACAGTGGGTAACAAATATAAATTTATTTTCTTTGAGTAAATACTTTGACTATACAAAATTCCCCTGTTTATGGTGTTAGATATGGATCTAAAGTAGTTCTTATTATTCTAATACTCATTGTACTATTTGGACAGTCTGCTCTGTAGCAGTGAAATTCACTTTACACCCTTAACTGGTAGCGTTCATAAGCCTTCAAAGCCGCTGGAGCCCCTTCCTCTTTCTGTGCGTCAGGAGGGCTCACCACTCACCAACTTCCTTGGTGGCTCTTGTGGTGTCTCCAGTGCTGTTCCTTCTGCTGCTGCCAACGAGAGTGTCAGTGTTGACTTCAGATCTCCACTGTCTTGGTAGCCAATGGCTATTTCCCCTAAAGCTGCTGCTGGGTCCTCAGAATTGGGGGTATGGTTTTTTTCCCTCAAGTTTCTGGGTTTACAATGTCTTTTACTGGGTCACTCAAATCCCAAGTGACCAGAGAGGTGAACATCTGAAGGACACCACCTATTAAACACTTGGTGTGTAAATGGCAACCCAGTTTCTGATGCCTCTTACATGCTTTCTGAAGGAAAGGAATCATGAATAGGCATAGATACAGTGATTTCTGTAAAATTCTGCTTAGCTTCCTAAACCATCCATACCAGGTCAGCCCTCTGTTCTCCATGAGTAAGGAAGGTGTTTCCCTATGTAGCCTCACAATAATCTTGCCCCAAGTTTTAGGCCACCCAAAAACAACTTTGAGCATCAATTTCTCCAGGCTTCTTTCTGGCTGACTTCAGGAAGTCTTATCCCACAAGGAAATCAGCTATGGTGGAAAGAGTTTAGAGTGAGAAAGACTTGGCTTTGGATATTGGCTCTACCATCTGCCATCTTTGGGGTGCCAGGCAAATCATTTGAACAATAGGAACCTTAGTTTTCATATCTGAAGGGTTGCTATAATAATTAAGTGAGTTAACATAGATAAAGCACTTTTACCACAGTCCCTGGCATTCATTCCTCCTGGTCTCGCCCCCTCCCACCTCCCTCAGCCCCAGATTGTCTCATTTGGGGATAAGCACCTCCTTCACCCACCTGGAAGTCTCCTTGGTGCTCTTCTTCATGTCTTATTTTCTCTCTTAGCCTGAGTCTCCTGGTTCTGTGTTATTTCCCTGCAAACAATTCAGCATAAAGCCAGCATATTAGGCAAAAATTATGTGTAGTCAAGATTACCCTGAACATCTTTCAGCTTTCTCCTAACATACAGTGTATGTGGTTTTATATAACTCTGTACAGCAATTCTTATACACACTAATGTTTCGGAACCAGTGACTCAGACCAGAGGAAGAAAAGGAAAGTCCATTTACAGATGTCTGCACATTAAATCATCCTGCTTCCAAGATAATCATCAAGTCTGGAGATGGTGAAGCAACAAGTGGAGAAATCCAAAGTGTTGCTTCATGCCTACTGGACCCCCTCCATTCCACATTAATACTAAACCTCTATAACCTTTCTCCAGTCAATAGACTTGGCCCAGGTGGCTGCACACAGTGGATCTGTACTGAGGGACGGCGGGCTTAGGAAACCCCCAACCTAGTGTTGCCAGGTTTAGCAAGCAAAAACAGAGATGCCCGTTACTTTTGAATTTCAAATAAACAGCAAATAATTTAATATCAGTATTGCACAAGGCACATTTACACTAAAAATTACACTAAAATTACATTGACAAAAATTTAGTTATTTATTTGAAATTCAAATTAACTGGGCCTCCCATATTTTATCTAGCAATTCTGTCCTAATCTTGTAAGGGGGACGCCAACAGACTTGTCCAGGAGAAAGACAATATCATTACTATCCTGGTCAAGAAACAAATTTGCCTGTTCCCCAGGGGGAGACACTGTCTCTGTCCTCCCAGGTTGTTTGCCATGCAAGTACCCTTGAAAAGCCAGCCCAGGATAAAAACTGTCACAATACATGGAGAAACACCATGGAGAATTGTCCACCAAATAATCACCTAAATTATGGAGTGAACAAACACCTGTGTCACACGGTTGATGTCAGGATTAAATCAGATGGTTGTGTAAGTGCCCAACAAACAGTAAGCACTCGTTCAGTGTTAGGTTCCTTACCTATTTGTAATTGCTGTTTTTAATTTGTTCAAGCTTCTCTCGTCAAGCTTCTAAGATTTCATTTAGCTTTCCAGCCTCACTAATCTTCTGCATCTGTGTACTACTCCCATGTTACCATATTTTAAGATCCAGCAGCACTTGCCCCACGTGTGCTTTTCTGAATATCCTATGCTGAGCACACCTCTGGGACTTTGCATTGCTGTTCACTCTGATTGGAATGACCATCTCCCATTCCTAGGACACCTGATAACTTCTATGTCCCCTCAAGATTCAGCTACCATGTCACCTTCTCCAAGAAGACTTCCCTGAAACTCCTAGGACCCAGAACAAATTTCCTCCCTATATGCTACTTACTACAGCCACTTACATGTTGTGCATTGAATTACATCCCCCAAGAAAGATATATTGAAGTCCTAACCCCTGATATCTGTGAATATGATCTTATTTGGAAATAGGGTCTTTGCAGTTGTGATTAAGATGTAAGTTAGGATGAGGTCATATGGGAGCAGGGTGTGCCCCTAATCCAGTCTGATTGCTGTCCTTATAAGAAGAGTTGAAGAGAAGCAGAAACACAGAGACACAGGAAGGACACTATGTGATGACAGGGCAGGGACTGGAGTGATGCCTCTATAGTTCGAGGAACACCAAGGACTGCCAGCAAATCCCAGAGGCTAGATAGGAACAAGGAAGGACCCTCCCCTAGAGCCTCAGAGGGAGCATGGCCCTGCCGACACCATGATTTCAGAATTATAGCCTCCAGAACTGTGGGAAAATAAATTTCTGTTGTTTTAAGCCACCCAGTTCATAGTATTTGTAATGGCGGCCCTAGGGAACTAACCCAATGATTACACATTA